TTTGAAAAATTAGACTGTAAAATTTCTTACTAATCAAATCAACTAATTAAGTAGTGACTGTTTAGAGATCAATTCCGCCAAAGTATTCTCAGTATGTATTCCAAATAAAATTATTTCGTGATGTTTTGGGTCTCATGATGATATGTTCTTCTGTTATAATTTGTTCTCTATTTCCATACTTCATTTTTAGCTGTTTAGTATTCTGGTTATTAAATCTAATCATATGCTTTTGTCCTAAATCAAGTATGCTTTATGTTTGAAACAGGATTACGAGAAAGGTTAGCCAGATTTAAATGATCTCTGCTTCGGTTTTTTAATCTTGAAATATAGTTTTAGGTTTAGCTATACATGTCATATGATTTTATTCTATGGGTTTTTTTGTACTGTCTCTTCTTACTTCAAACTTTATTTGAATTTCATACCAAACTCTATAAAAGTATATAATATTAGGCATTTACCAAATCGCGCAACGCTCGTACAAAAACTAGTTATGACATAAATTCCAACATTTTATTATTTTTGTTAGTAAAGGTCATGCGTTTCCTACACTTAAATTATTTCCGTTGGTATATTGATGGAATATACCAACAATTTTGATTAAAGCCGGTAAGTAAAGTGTGAATGATGAATGACTTTTGAAATGGTGACTAAAATCGATCCTAATGACTAATACGTGGACAATTTATTTAAAACATGACTCATCTCTTAGCTTAGATCGATTATTTTAAGGTTAATTCGATGGTACCCCAAATGTACCGTACCTTTGTCCAATAAACCAATAAGAATGATGCAGTTGAATTATTTAAATCTAAATTAAAAGGTATTTAATGATTTGGACCAATGTTACGGAGTATTAAAAGGTATTAAATTTTACTGTTCATGTAAAAGGTATTTACCGTACCTTTTAATGATTTGAATTATTTAAATCTAAATTAAAAGGTATTTAAAATGTTACGGAGTATTAAATTTCTGTTCATGTAAATTTCAAAAATGTAAACTTTTTATAATTCTTACGAATACGTAATTAAATATAATTAGTATATATGTTCTAATCTTTTACCGAAGTATATGAAAATAATCAGCAAGAACGCCACATGCGCTTAGAGAAACTCGTAAAAAATATTAGGGACCCGTTTAATGTCTCTGTTTTTCGATTTATCAACAAACTTTGATTTTGTGTTTTAAATTGTGTAATAATAAGAAAAAGTAAGATTGAAGTTACTTTTGTGACTATACCGGCATAGATTACTATAGATGGTCACTTTAACTACTTTCATGTAAATTTTTTTATTAGCAAAAAATATTTTAAGTATAATTTTTTTCATAAATCAGCACAATGAATCAATGCATCCACCTCACCTAGAATTTGAATTTATAGGAACGTAAATTTAATTATCTCCGTCAGGTTATATGATTTCATTAAATAATGGCACGTTTTTTACTTCACAACTAATTAAAATCAGAAACTTTGCCAAGATCTCGATGCAGTGACAAAACCAAACGGCTTTCACATAACGCACGCCTTTGACTGTTGACCGTTGAATGGGCAAACGACCGTTGCACATTCCCACAACATAAGGCACGCTTTTCAGCTACAACACGCACCTGCACTGTCCAACGGCTACTTTCTTCCATTCATATCCAACGGCTAGTTTCCACCATAATTGAAAAAACGGCTAGTTTGACCACAGTCCACGCCTTCTTCGCCCTATGTGGCTATGTGTGTATATATACCCACTCCCCTCCCACTGGTTCTCATCCAGATCCAACTGAGCATTCTCATCTCTTCACTGAAATCAGCTTTAATTTCTTGAGAGCTATTTTAAACATTCCTCTTCTTGGAAGCTTTAGACCCTGACAATAAAAGTCCATTCTTTTTTTTAAGCAAATATGAACTCTTCTTCTTACTCTTCTGGGCTAATCGCAGCTGCTCTGTTCTTCCTTCTCTTTGGGTGCACACAAGCCAGAACGCTTGTGGTCGGCGGCAAAAATAACACCTGGGCGGTCCAATCTTCTTCTTCGCTGAATACGTGGGCCAAAAAAGCCCGCTTCGTCGTCAGTGACAATCTAGGTTCGTAAATGCTGTTTATTTATTTATTTTCCTCAGAATGTGTGTGTCTATGTTACACGGAAACGCAAAAATCATCAGAAAACGAGAAAGATCAACTTTTGTTAAAAAAAAAACGCTTGTATGGACATTTAAATTTAATGAATGCCGGTAATTTGCAGTGTGGAAATCCGAGAAAGAAGGGGACAAGGTTGTGCAAGTGGAGAGGGAGGACTACGAGAGCTGCAACGCATCAAAGCCCATTAGTTCACAAAGTGGGCTGAATGCCAGTGTTTTGTTGGACCACTCTGGCCCATTCTACTTCATCAGTGGCTCGGCGGAGAATTGCAAGAAGGGGCTGAAGTTGACCGTGGTGGTTCTATCTGAGAAGCACGCCGGGAAGGTGGCGTCTCCGGCGCCCGCTCCGGCACCTGCTCTGGACGACCTTCCGGCAGTCGCCCCCACCACCGGCGCGGCAGCTCTCTCCGTCAGCGCACGGGCGGGTTCTCTTGTGAAGGGGCTTTTTCTGATTTATCTTTTCTTTTGGTGCGTGTAATCCAATAATCATGATGGTTGGATTGTAATGTTGGATCGGTTTCAATTTCATTCATTTCATTGGTTTGTTATTTTTGGGATCCATATGATAATAATAAATTCTTTCATTCAGTTTTACTCAGAAGCCATTATTGCGTTTTCTTATTTGATATTCTTATTCCAATAACACAAGGTTTAATTTCATTTCACCACTACAACTGCAGTTACAATGGCAAAAAGAAATTTCAACTTATTATTGTGTCATATTTTTGGAATAAAAGTTGGAATGAGTGAAACAAATTTCATCTTGATGGACATTTTGCACATTTTCATGATTGATTAGAAAATCATTTAGATAATGATGACTAGCACTAAAAAAAGATATATCAGGTGTTAGAAGAAACTCTAAAAATATGCTATATTGATCACATGATATACTCTAATGTCCTACTGATAATACTCCTTTTGAAGTTTCTCCCCTTACCCTCATGACCAAGGCCCAATTTATCATACAATAAAAAAGGACACCTACAGTTATATTGTATGATAATTAGTTTACATCAATTTATCATGGTCTTTTTCATGAATATTACTAAATTTAATCCCAAAAGATAGAATATGACTTATTTTAAAATTTTCCAAAAAATGAAATATCTAGTGACTAGTTCTCATACATAATGACTAGTCATACTTGTCCAAAAAATACCTAGTCATAATTTTGTATGAAAAACTCTGATAATAATAAACATGTCATTTTTTTCATTTATCATACAATAAACAATTTATCTTTCAAGCTAGGCAAACTAATTATATACGAAGTATATTAATTCATGTAACTTTGAACTTTACACTCCATTTTTGTTGCAAGTCAAAGAAAATAAAACATGAGATATTGATATGTGACACAAACTAATTAGTAGAGTTAAAAGTATTTCTAGTGTTACAATGTCCATGATTGCAAAGAACGTCTCCATTTTGGCTCTCTTCACAAGTGGTTGCCCGTGTTAATGAAAACGTACTACTCCTTTTTTCCCTTAAAACTTTGTCAAGTTGGATCGGCACGATGATTAATATTGTAAAAACTGTTTAATTGAGATTTGTGTAGAGAAAAGAGAATTATCTGAAATAATAAATTATTTACTTAAAAGGGAAAGTGGTAAAATTAATGAGACAATCAAAAAAGGAAAGTTAACAAAGTTTTAATAAACGGATGAAGTATTTTATTGTAGATATACATTACCCACCAAATTTGATCCATTGCATCTTTGATTATCATACTCTGTAACTCTTATAAGTAAAAATCATTTAGTGCTTCCATTTTGAAGTTTCACATTGCTTGAACTCATATTTAATACTAGTACAATTACTTGAATTTATTTGATAATTATATTTTAATTCACTTCTTAAATATAATGCGTACTTATGAAACCCTATACTAGGGTGGGCATAGTTCAAGACGGTCCAATATTTTGCTGAATCTGTATCCATACCGTCCGTGACAACTATTGAAACAGTCTGATTCAGTTCGGTCTTAGCTAGAACTGAACCCGTTGAATACGGGTTCCCTTTATAACGGGGCGGTATCTTGCAATACCAATATCAAACAATATCACTTTTTCCAATTATTTAAGGGGAATTTAAAGTTTACTCATCCTCCAAAAATCCACACAATTTATCAACTTAAAATTCAAATAAACTATAGTAGTATTAAACGTAACTGACAAAATATTACGGAGTAATTGAGATGTACGTTTGCGTTTACATAACTTGAGATTTGATTTCAGATGTAGAAACATAAATCCAGACAAGGTATACATGTACGTTTAAACCATACTTCGTTTCACTTCGGTCCGATATCGATTCTCATTTTATGAAAAATCGGGCATGACATGATTTGGAACCGCTGCAGTGCAGTTCGAAACAAAAATTTTGAAATCTGCTTCAAACTCCATTTTTCGGTACCACGCCGGTTTTGTATTTTTGCCCACCCTTACCCCTAACCAAATACTCTAACTTATTGTAGTGGCTAGGACTAAGACACGAGTGCAGCTCCTCTCCAGTGCATACGAAACTGGACAGTTCCAGTAGATTAAATAGTGAGCTGCCACATGGCTATTTATTCAATCAAAAGTCCAGATTTCATTTTCATTCTTTTAACTGCTTGATGCACCTGAGTCTTTTACTTATTACCGTCGGAGTATTTATTTGACTCATTCCTTTTCATTTTTTCTTTACTCATTTCAATTTCTTCTCTTTTCCATTTGCTATGAACTGTGCTACAAATAATTCATGAAATTGACTCTAAGAAACAAACACCAAAGTGCAAAAGTAACCAGCAACACTTTAATGTCTATTTTTTTAAAAGCTCGTTGTTTAATAATCACCAAAGACTCGAACTGCTATCTGTAATGTAAATTAATGAACAAAACAAAAATTTCAACCTTCAATTAAACATAAGCCGCCAAACTGCTATTACATCAAAATTAGTCAAAAAAAAAAAATGAGCAGCTCCAAATTCAAATACTTCTACCCGAAATTATCAACAAGCCAGGTCTATTATCTGCAACTTTCAAATACTTCCTACCCCAAATTATCAACAAGCCAAGTCCTTTATCTGCAACTATTACATCAAAATTAGCAAAAAAAATAGAAGCTCCAAATTCAACAACTTCCTACCCCAAAAATATCAACCAACGAGTTCTTCTTAATCTGCAGTTCTTCTCAAAAATAACTATTTGCAGCCCCAAAGTTATAATATACACTTCTGTTTGGATCTTGGTTAGGATTAATGACTTCAGTTCCAACTCCAAAGTGCTCTTCCACAGAAATGAAATCACTATGTGAATTAGTCATGGGAACAAGTCCCAATGGTTGGTGCATATCAGGTAAAAGTGAGTATGAAGCCTGTTGCTGGACAAGTCCAGTTCTGGGTGCAAATGGTTCCTACAAAAACAAGAACTTGCAAACTTTAACAAAAAACAATCTATAAAAACGTTTATAAATTTATAATAAAAATAGTATCTTACCAAATCTGTTGATTGTTTTTTCTTTTTTTGCACTCCATTTGTCTTTCTCTTTCTTGCTAATTTTTCCACCCAAGATTTAGGCCGCTTCTTTGCCTTGTTAGAACAGTCCCTTTTCTTTATGCCTTTGGGACCATCAAGATCAATAACGTTGACATTTGTCTCAATATTTCTAGATCCCATCAATATAGCAACATGACACCCGCCACTTGATTCTTCGTACAGAGACGTTTTTGCCAACATGTCTTCAATAATTCTAGTAGACTCTTCACACACTTTAGACACAAAGGTGTAAGCTTCATGAGATTCAGATGCCCTATTTGTTAATTTTACCATTCGGGGACACAACTCGTTGTATCTCTTCATAAAGTGAGCTTTGACATCCAACTCAATATGTTTTCCATTAAAATCACGATTGCTTCCCAATCTTGCTTCCTTTGTCCATCGCTTGAGTATGTAATGTTGAGGAATGATCTTAATATTCATGAAATCCAAAACTTTCAAAGCATGGCTGCATAAAATACCATGTGTCTCATATTTACGACATTCACATGCAATTGCTTGCTCCGTAAGACTCCACATCACCAATCGATGTTTGGCACCATCATAATCTGTGACAACAAACAAATTGTCTTTGACTTGTCTAATACGAGCCCCTTGAAATTCCTCATACTCTTCTTGAAATTCTTCAAATATGGAAGGAGTGTAAATGTCCCCAACCTGCAGGAGCATAGGAGCCTTCTTCATTTTAAATCTGGGCAGCTTGTGTACAGACTCATATTCGGCTTCTGCTTCATTTTGCCTTTTTTCATTTACTACCCTTTCAAAGTGGGTAAAGAACCGCACTATATTTAAATCACTCTTCAAGTGACTTTTCAAGTCAGCGTTCAAGCTCTCACTCAATTGAGTGGATCTCATGCCCGCGGTGAACGTTTTCCGAACATAGGCCCAAGCCCATTTTTCCTTCACCAAAAAAATGGTATGCAACCATGAGTCACTGCAAACATCATTATCAACAAGTAGAGCACTCCACGCATTCTCCAATTGATCTTCTGTTTCATGCAAATCAATGCATGCTTCAAAATCAGCGCAAAAATGCAAACTTTTTTGGTATAGATGGTTCACATGCTTAAGTGCATTTTCTCTAATATGCCACGTGCACAATGCATGAAATGTTTCCGGCATCACAACACAAATGGCTCTAGCCATTGCTGCATCTTGATCAGTGAAAATCGTCTTTGGTTTTCTACCACTCATGGCCTTAAAAAACGTCTCAAATAGCCACTGGAATGAAGGGATAGTTTCATCATATAGCAATGTTGCTCCAAAAATCACTGTTTTTCTATGATTATTGAGTCCCACAAATACTCCCAACGGTCGATACTCCTTGTTTGTCTTATATGTCGTGTCAAATGAGACAACATCCCCAAAATATCCATAATCATTTATCATTTGTGCATCTGTCCAGAAAATATTAGTTATCTGGTCTTCAACGTCCATTTGAAAGTCATAAAAGAATGAAGGATTTTCACTCTTGCTTTTGAAGTACATCATCAATGCACCAAGTTCACCATACTCCAAAGATTGTTTTGTTTTTGTTCGAAGACAATTTCTATGGTCTTTTCTTGTATAACCAATACTCTCTACTCCACCTGCTTGTTGTGACACATATGTATGAAAATCTCTTGGCTTTAATCCAGAAGCATCGGCCAACAAAATTTGTGATGCTTGTGCCTTAGACACGTGACGATGAGACCGAATCATGTGAACATAATCAAGAGGTTGAAGAGGATGATTATGTTCATCTACGAAATCACTGACCTTGTACTTTTCTAGCTTTCTATCAAGTGAAATAACCATTCGTGCTTGACATCCGGTTCTAGTTTCTGCCCTTGGAATTTTTGTCAAGTTATCTCGTTTGTCTGTACCTCGTGTGCCCTCTTTATAACATGAGAATCTTCTTGAGGTTAATATTCCATCCTTTTTGCTTTTATTTCCATATTCTCGACGAATGCCAAATCCGTACCTCCTACTATATGCATTATAAAACTCATATGCTTCTACTTCAGATTGAAACTCCATACCCAGACGTGGTATATGTGAACTATCCCTCTCTGGAACGTCTTGTGTGCTACTAGAATGAATACTATTAACCCAGTTCTCTACTCCATCAATTGGAGTTGATGAAGCATCCATGTTTGATGAGCTTCCAACTACAAAATTCTGTGAAAAGAGTAAGCATTAAACAAGCAATTTCAACATATTCTAATTTTAAATTAAAATTATAAATAGAGATATAAAGTTTCTGAGAATTTATTCATAAGCATAACAAAAAATCACCGATTTCCAATAATATACATATATGGCCTGTCCAGTTTCTAAATAAATGAGGCAATCAAAACATAACAAAAAAAATTGAAGAAGAGTGTTAATTTATTAATGTAGACTGCGTCTAACTTGCATTATCCAGAAATTCAATTTAATCAAAATACCCAAGTATAACACGAAATAATGTAAAATGGATTGTCCAGATTGTTGAGATTTTTAACATGAGCACATACGTACCTTCAGTTATGGTGAAAAGCAATCTGGCCTTTGGTTCTTGAAAAAGAAAGAGATTATGTTTTTTTGGTGTAGAGGTGAGAACATTCTTTCTCCATCTTCCCTATTGCAGAATCAAAAACTAAATCTCAAGAGCAAAGGCAGTGAAGAATTAGCTAGGGTTACTCTGTGTAGGTGTTTTTTCTGGAGATGGTTCGAGCAGAAAAGAGTAGTGTCGTTCCTAACTTCCTATAGCAATTAAAAAAGGAATTTGGAACAGTATATCATCAAATTTTTATCCTGACCCCTCATTTAGTAAGTGACCCATGTGGCAGCTCTCTAATCAATCTAATGGAGATGTCCAGTACCGTATGTACTGGAGAGGAGCTGGACTCCTAAGACACTATATATTGCTGCAGTTTCCTATATGTGGTACAACACAGCTTTTTGTCCTGTTGGCAAGAAAGGGGCAATTACTTTATTGCCATTTTTTCATGGTTCTGCTATTCTGCACTGATTCCAACCCAACCTCCCCTCAGTCCCCTTCTATGGCAATCCACTCCCCTCCAACCCCGCTTTCATCTATTCAACCAACTCACATATCTATATTCCTTTATATACCCATAGTTGTTCATATCTTTGAAGTCCCATGAATGGAAATTTCAAGCACCAAGTTTCTTGAACCTCCACCACCCCTTTTCCTCTCTCAAATGGTAATTAGGAATAAGGATTTCAATTGGCAATATTCACCTCATCCTCTAAATTCCCTCATTGCAACACACCTGCATTTTGTTTATTCTTTCTTTAGCTTAATTTGTTAGACTTTTCTGTATATTTGGGTGTTTTAGTAATCACTACCTCCATTTGTGTCCACTTTCTTTTTCTTGGGTTCATATGGTTTGTTTTCATGACACCCAGGAAGAAAGACTGGAAGGTTACAATAATGGGAACAAATTCTTGGAAAGGTTTCCAATAGCAGCAACTCAGAGGAGTCAATTAACAAAGAAAAGTGTGGAGGCTGCACCTTCAACCCCTGGGAGGCCCATTTTCAGCTTCAGTGTTGGGAATTTTTCCAGAAAATCTGTCCCTTCAAAGTGGGATGATGCAGAGAAGTGGGTTGTTAATGGGAGCTCTTGCCATGATTCCCCTTCTACTGCTCACCATCATGGATTCAAGCCACCAGAGTGGTTGAGATCCTCTAAGCACTGTAATGGGGTTAAACCCCAAGAAGCAGCTGGAGAGCCAGAAGATGGTGATGATGAAATGCATTCCTACATGGCATCAGATGGAAAATCCTCCAAACCAGATGTGCTTTTTAAAGGTATAAATCAAATAACTTCCTCTTACATCTTAAATTTTGTACCTCGAAAATGGCCCTGACTTCAACAAGAATAATTTAAGTACAAAAGCTAAAATCTATTTTAGATTATTTCAAGTATCTTTAAATTTTTCAAGGATATTGGTTGATTCTAGACCTTTAACTTGTGCCTCTAAAATGCAGACAAGTTCACCAGAGAACTAGGAAGTATCAAAGACAAGCCCATGAACTGTTGTGCAACATCAGAGGTTGTTCATCCTGAGGTTGTTAATCTGAGAGACATAGGAACATCAATGACGCCTATCGCCAGTTCGGCTCCATCGAAATGCCACACTCCGGTCATGATCCTGTCGCCAGCAGGACACAACACACCTGCTGATCGGTCCGGACCGCTTGGTCCATCAAACTCAAGCTCGGCCAGCACAACAGATATAATGATGCAATTACAAGAAAGCCATTTGGCAAAACTACAGCTCGGGATGATGCATCAGGATTCGACCCTGACATCGAATTGGAGCACCAGGGAAGAGGAGGAAGATGACGTATCGAAGAGCTTGAGACACTTCGAGGTGAGCAACGAATGTCAGGGAGTTAGCATACCCAAGCCTAGAGAAGCTTGGGATGAAGAGGCTTCTAAGTGTTGCCTAAGGTACACACCTTAATTTCCACTTGCATTGTTTGGACTAAAAGCATAAAGTATTGATACAATTTATGAATTTAATACCTCAGATGTTGAATAAAATGAATTAGTACCCCAATTAAGTATACTTGAATGTCTTAGTACCACTGGAATTCAGACCAAATTCATCTTATCTGGTGTAATAGTATAAATTACACATATGTTCCCAAAATATAATACATTTATATGCTATGAAACAAAGAATTCACATATTCATCTTTATCAAACTCAAATCTCTATTAGTCTAACCAGTTCTGAAAGAAACCAAATATTTGTAATTCTAGTTATTAGAACAGATCACAATTGCACTAACTCAGTTACAACCTCATCTGCCCCATAAAATAATGAATTACATACCCATATACACTCTTGTTATGGGACCCTCAGCCTTGCAGGGCCAATGTGTACCAGGCTGCCATTAAATACTTCTTTTCTTGAACTCACTTGAAATTTACCTAATCAAGTCATATTAGTTTGGCATGAATTTCAAATTGCACCACCCTCAAGTGTGTGTACCAGGCTGCCATTAAATACTTCTTCTTGAACTCACTTGAAATTTTCTGCTTTTAGTTTAAAAAACTGATATACCATAGTAAGTGTTTTCAAGTGACTAACTTCTATTTAAACTAAACACTTAAAAGTTAAAAGTTAGAAACTGCTTTTTTCTTTTTTTATTAAACAAAAACTCAAAAAGCACAGATTTTATCATACACTATCAACTTTTACTGTTCAAAATCAAATTTTGTCAAACACTACCAACCTTTACCATTAAACGCTTTCTTCAAAATCACTTTTTTAAAACAGAAGCAATCGTAAACACTCCCTTAAACTTATTTAGCTATTGAAGCTCCTATAAATTAAGTTGAAATAATATGTCACAGATATCAGAGAGAAGAGGCCCAAATTCAGGCTTGGGTGAACCTCCAAATAGCAAAGGCAGAAGCTCAGTCCAAAAAGCTAGAGGTTTAATATTCTAATAAAACTTCTCTGTTCTTGATAAATGGGGTAAAAACTGTCAAATAATGCATGGTTTGATGACATTATTAAGGTGAAAATACAAAGGATGATATCCAAAAAGGAAGAGAAGTTGATGAAGAGGATGGCAATAGTTCAAAGGAAGGCAGAAGAACTGAGGAGTGCAGCACAGCTTCAACATTCTGAGCAGATGCAGAAGGTGAGTGAAAGGGCGAAGAAGACGACGGCCAACCGCTTGCGGCCGCCGCTGAACATTGATATGTCGCCATCTTCTCGGGGTGGCCCAACTTGCTGCAGTTGTTTTCCTTGCAACAGCCATTATTACTTGTAGCAGTGTATAGTTGCAGTCTTACTGCATGTGTTAGTTGTTCTATCCTTTCCTGTCCTATGGTCAATTTGCAATCAGTGATACATTCTTTCAATGCCCTCCAAGAATCTTTGGTATGCTTGGACCACAGGGGCAATAATAGGACATCTTGATCTAGTAACTACATACAGTCATATTATTATTGACCCAAGTTTGGTTTGTAGGCTGTAGCCTCTTTTATAAAAACTTGAAAATTTTAAAAGATAAAAAATGTCTTTTACATAATAGTCAAAACATTAAAAATGAAAAAACCAAAGTCGGTTGATAAAAGTATCCCTAACATAATAATTGAAGTACTAAATGTGACAAAAATATTAATATTTATCTGATATATAATCAGGGGCGGATGCATTTGGAAACCGATGGGGGCACATGCCCCCAATGACTTTGTAGTTTTGTTTAGCTTTTATTACTGAATTTTATATAAAAAGAGAGGTGCCCCCATTGAAAATTAAATAAAAAAGACCCCCAATAGTATTACCACATAATTGAACGGAAAGTATCTCCTATTTCCTAACCCCGACTCCCCACTCCTCATCATTTTAACCTATTATTTTAGTAATTTAATTATGAAAGAAGTTAATGGGCAAAATATGAAGAGAATTAGCTATGATCGATTAAGTATTCCCAAGGTTTATTTGTGAATGGCTCGTAAATCATTCGCTCTTAAATCAATTAAATTTTCTTCTACGTTTATATAAAACATTTTTGATCTCCACTTTCTTTATCTTGGAGATCCACTTTTACATTTGTATTCTCTTTTTACGTTTGTGCTCTTTCTTTTTACTATTTTACTTCTTAGTTATGATTTTAATAACAAGTTTATAAGTTAGTTCATTTCTATTCCACTATTATATTGCAATTTAAATTTTATAAATTATTAATTTCAGTTTTTATAAGGGTTCTAAATTGCTAATCATAATAGCTTTTGTTGTGTTTGCATAGAGTACACTTACTTGTTTTTAGTTTTTTATATAATTATTTCTTTTTAGTTCATAACTAATTTAATTTAGTTTTAAGAAAATGCTTTTCACTTCAATATATTCATTAGTAACAATGAAATGAAATATATTTGGACACTGCACATTAAACAATGGTAACGTTAAAATCACTCTAAAAGAAAAATGGCGCCATCATCCAAAAAAGGTGGAGGTGCTAGAAAAAGTTAAGTGTTAAATTGTTAGTGTATCGAATATAGTACATCCTCACTAGAAATATTTATAAGAAATTGATTTGATCAATGTGAAATTAGTTGAAATGTAGTTTACAAGAGGAGAAAACATTTTGTTTGAGTCTTATTTGTTATGTCAAAATAGATATGTTTTAGAAACGAAAATTGTGATGGGTCATTTCAAAGTAAAACTCACACATAGAGAGCCGATGTAATAAAATGTACTTCATAATACTTTATAGTGTGTTAATTTTGGATTATTCCATCATGTGAACTTAATTTAATTATACTTCATTATGAAAAAAAATATTTACTCTTAATATGTGCCCCCAACCACTAAATATTCTGGATCCGCCCCTGTATATAATGAGGTTAAGTGATAAGTAATGCGGAGTAATATATTATTACATGTGAGGGTTTGATCAATCATGCATGTTAATGTGTTGTCTATATTTACATACACAAATAAATACGATATTGATTCTCATATTTGTGCAAAAATGTTGAGAAAATATATTTTCCATATTCTCAGCTCCTCTCGGCCTATGACCCCATTTAGTTATGTTGTCCGTTTGATGATTCTGTTTTTCAACTTACCTGATTTATAATCAACTTTTGTATCAAACTAAACCTTTTTGCATTTTTTTATTGGATAAAAAATATATTTTCTCCGTATTTTTTTGTTTGCTACACTTTTCTTTTATGAATGTATTTAAGAATTTGCTGCACTTTCACTTTTAGTAAGTTTTTCCTTTAAAAATACTCAACTACCCTTATTTTTTCTACTTTTTATCTTCTCTTTCATATTTTTCCATCATCTCTCATATTTTTTCTACACTATTCATTACTCTACTATTTCACTCTTAAAAAATGTGTCTAATACAGTAATACCTATTGTAGCAAACAAAAAATAGAGAGGAGTATATATTTCTCTAATTGAAATCATCCTATTTCCCTGAAGAGTTGGTTAATTTCACAATTTGATCAACTGCTACAAAACCTTTTCCGTTTTTTCATCGAAACAAATTTTGTACGCAGTAATCTACGTTATATTATTATTACTTTCTAAATATTTGGTACTTCGTTAGAGTACATAATAAACCTTACCCATCTTATTCCTTCCATTCATAAAAACAGTAACCATTAAGTCTGGTTTGGAAACCTTTTTCTGTCTAATAATATTCTTTGTTGAATACTGAACTTCAAACTAAGCAAAGGTTAATTGTCATTGATGGATTGACATAGTTTAAGTAAAATACGCAAAGGTTAATTGTCGTTGAAGGATGGATTGACTTGGTTTAAGATAAAGTGAACTAAAATGTAAACATAATTTTTGCCCAATTCAAGCATTTAGCATGTACAACCGTTTCAACTTCAAGTATATACTCCTTTCGTTTTTGAGAAAATTCTTCTCACTTATCTTTTTGAAACGTTCCAAAAAATCCTTCCAATTTCTTTTTTGGAAAGTTTTGTGTGGTTATCATTCGTTTACATTTTTTTACTCAACCATCAACATAAATTTCTACTTTGTTTCAAATTTCTTAAACTCTGATCCAAGTCAAACCGTGAAAAAATTTATAACAATGATGGATCGGAGTATATGTTTTGGTAAGTTCAGTAGATTTGATCAGCAAACTAATCAAACAATTTTGTCACATTTCCGTTTAAGTAATTATTTTATGGTTTTTATTATTTCTCTTTCCACTGCACAAACTTTAATTACAACATACTATGTATTAGGGATCATGCCCAGGGAAAGTAATTAAAAACATAGTACACTACTGACTACACTACTCGGTTTGAGATGTTTAAGGATGACACCCCATCCCTGAGGGTCCCCCAACACCGATCGGACGGCACGATGAGAGGATGTAAATTGGACTGTAATCACAATCTGACAGATAGAGAGTGGGGTTCCGTCCCCGGTACTTGCAGAGGCCTTATGCATTTTTAGCATAGTAATCTCTCATCGCAGTTGCCGAAATTTGAACCCAGGACCAAACTCTTATGGCACTCTCTCGCTGCCAGACTACCAGTTGAGCTACGTCCACCATTTTGAAATGTTTAAGTTAAGGTGTGCATCTACTACCATGTTTGAGTATTGTTTAAGCTAAGGTACAAATATAAAGTAATGAAGTAAGACAGCTTTAGAAATTAGAAACGTAGGTGTGCATCATGAGTTTCCAAAAACAAGTTCGATTATCATCAGAGGCCGGGTGTGGTACGTTGAAGCAAGCTGGCTATAGCTAACACGACAAAACACTCAAAAAAAAGCTGAAAAGGGGATCGATGCATGTTTTGCTTAGAGAAAGAGAAGAAGAAAATTAAAATTGTTGTTCTAAGATTTCCCCGACAGCACTGTTTTTGTTTGCTTGTATGTACAGCAGAAGTAGCAATTATACTGTACTGTGGTGTTGGAATCACGAGATCGTTTCAGATTGTATTCCCATTCCTAATCCATACTCAGATACTACTCCCCCCCCCACCCCCCCCCCCCCACCCCCCAGTCTCTATATATAGGCACGCTCTGCTACTACGAAACGTAACAATGTGTTTTCACACATCAAACGTTTTCCTTAAATGGTAGCAAGCTAAGCTTAAGCCGGGCACGGGCAACATGACTACAAGTAGGATCATATTGATTTAGTTTAATCAAATCGAATTACACCGAATTGAAATCGGATCATATATAATTTGGTTTAAATTTGATAGTATTTCTTCAAAACCATATTAAATCGAACTAAACCACAATAGATGAAAACCGAACAAAACCAAACCGAATTACACAAATTCAATAAAATATTCATACATTATCAAAAAAAATCAAACTGAACCCAATCAAATTAAACCGGACCGGAAAATATAATGGTTTTGCTCTGGTCATTATTCTCCCAACCCGTTCCAAATTGAATCGAAACCGATAAAAAACCGAACAAAAACCGATATGTCGACCCCTAAGTACAAGAGTCTTGAGCCAATGAGACCATAAATTTTTTGACAAATTATCAATTGTATGAAATTACATTATTTTATTGTATTCCCCCGTCCTACAAAACTTCGCCTACTTGACTTTTCTATGTCAATGTTAGAGCCCGTTTGGAGACCCCCTTTTTCGGCTTATCAGGCTTATCAGCCAGCTTTGCACCAAACACGTAATTTTTACTTTCGCGTGCTGAATTGTGTAATAAGCAGAAAAAGTAAGGTTAGAGTTACTTTTCTGGCTGTATTGGCTGAAGTTACTGTAGATGGCCATTTTAGTTATTTTTACATGTAATTTTTTCTTTATTTTATTAATAAAATATATTTTTAAAATATTTTTTTCTAGAATCAGCCAAAACAGCCACTTCAGCCAGAACTTCATAAATTTCAGCAGAAACAGCCAAAACAGCCGATTTTCATGCTACCAAACAGGCTCTTAATGAACTTTGGACAATCCTTTATTTATTATATTTTTGTACAATTTATAAATTTATACTTTTACGAAAGCGCTTTTAACAAACAACATTTCTATATGATTTCTATACTTCAAATAATTTTGTGTTAAAGAACATCATTGGTCAAAATTGATCATCCTTGCGAAAGTCAAAATGACCAAATTTTGTGGAACAAAAAGGGTAAATATGTAAATGTTGCACGTATTTATCATTGTTTGGTAACCCATATTTTCATCTTATTAGTTTTATCACTTACTTTTTATACAAACATGTAACGTTTGATTTCGGGTGCATAATTGTATAATAATCAAAATAAGTGAGGTTGTATTTACTTTTCTAGTTGAATTGGTTGGAGCTATTAAAGAGGAACACTCTAATTATTTTTCATATACTTTTTTCTTAATTTTATTAACAGAATATATTTTAAATATATTCTGTTAATAAATTTCGACAGATTCAGCCCATTCAATCAATTTTTGTAAACCAATATTAATAAACACACTTTTTAGTAGCTTTAAAATAATATTATGAAATAGTATCAATATCC